GCATCTATATCCTTAGTCCAAAGTCAAGATGGACCACACTCCCTATGAAGGCTCTAGTGGGAATTCCTTTCTTCATTTCTTCTGCTTCCTGTGGTTGCCCGCATGCCTCGCCTTGTGGCTGCCTTATTCCGGCCTCTGCCTCCATCATCACACCCTCTTTTGTGTGGGGCTCTGTTCCTCCTCGCCTGTATCTCTCTTATAAGGACAGTTCTGATGGCATTTAAGACCCATCCAGATAATTCAGGATGAATTTCTCATCTCAAGGTCTTTGATCACGTTTGGAGAGCCTTACCCTCTAAAGTAACCTTCACAGGGTCCAGGGATTGGGGCATACATGTATCTTTGGGAGCTACAATCAGCCTGTCCTAACAAATGGTAAGATTCATCTCTGATAAAGGCATTGAATCAGAAGTGCAGTGTGGTTTGGTCTTTTAATAAAATCCTTTAAGTAATACTGTAATGAATTAGAGCTTTATCTGGAGATGCCAGAAGGTATCCTCATTTAAATGTAAAGATTCTCAGTTGTTGCCTCTCCTTTCGGCTTTTCATTTCCTCTGCAGATAGGGCCAAAATCTGTCCATGTATCATCTATGTATTTTTTTTTCATTTTTTATCATCAGATCCCAAAGCAATGAATTGCTGTTTGAAAATGCATGGTTTATGTTTATCTTTTTCAGAACCACTTTTATACACATCTTTCCCCCAGTAGTGTTTGCTCTTTCAGAGGCTGGTTTTGTTCCTAAGCAATTATGATGCTTCCCTATGTTTGGGAATAAACAGCAGCATCTAAATGTTTTGCTCTTCTGTTTATTTCCTATAACAGATATTTACACTTCTCCCTCCCATGTTAGATTGTAGACTTCTTGACCCTAGAACCGTGTCTCTCATTATGCCCCATAATGCTTTGCACATGGTAGGTGCTCAACACACTTTTATTAAATAAGCGCAAGAATTAATATACTCAAATGAAATGCTGTTTTAAAAAGTATAGCATCTCTGCCTAAGGAAGGTAAGGGCAATTCCTCAAATTTATTTTTTAATCATTTTTTGTATTCATGTGGTAAAAATTGTCTCAAACTAGCAAGATCTATGAGTGCAGTGTTGATTTGTATACAGGAAGCCCATAGGCTAATTTTAATCTTCTGCTGTCTTTCATGAACATAATACTAAGAAATGTTTTTTGACCCAAGCCCTTCAGAGAGGCATGCTGCCTATGATAGGCCACACTCACTACAGAGGCTCTAAGGGGAATTCCATTCTTCATTTCTTCTGGCTTCCTGTGATTCCCTGCTGGGAATCACAAAGCATGCTGGGAACACTTGTCAAGGAGAGGTGGGAAGCTGAGAGTGATGGTGGACAAATCAAGACCATAGAGTGGGGAGGGAGAACCCTAGGCAGAACTAATCACTGAGACCAAATCAACAAGCCTAGGGAAGTGCAGTGAGCCCAAGACCCTCTGATCTAGCGTACATCTTCAAGGTTGTCACTTGGGTTAGCTGCTTGGAGGGTGGCAGGTAGGATCTCCTATGGGTTTATCTCTACTTCTCCCTAAACCATTGTTGAGCCTTCAGCTAATTCACCACCCTGTACTGTGTTTATTCTCTGCATATTACAAATGCTTCTTTTCTTCAAACCTGCCAGTTTTAGTATGAATCCAGCTGTTACCCAGTTTAGCACATGTGATTTTTAAGGAAGTCCACCATTTTTGAACAAATATAAAATAACCCTGAATAAAACATTTTTTATCATTTTCAACCATGATCTTCTAGGAGAACAATAATATAAAATATACCTATGTAGCAATGAATCTCTGCCTTTAGATGGTGAGAATAAATATGAAATGATAAATGTTTGTAATCGGACATTAAGACCCTGGAACCCACTATAGTGAACCAAGCACAAGGAAATATAGTGAATCTTAACCAGATTTCCAAATAAGCTGGGAAGAGGGAGATCCAGCCCGTGTAACACTTGTGGGATGACCACTGTATTTTCCCCTCTGAATCTCAGTAGTGTACAATTCTTTCTAGGAAGAAAGTGTTCACATAATTCAAAATGATAGGGAAAAAACAATAAGTAAACTTAGGTACCAGATAGGTTCTTTTATTTTATAAAATTTATTGCCTTTATAAAGGGCAAGATTTATTCAAGTCTGTGCCAGAAATTTTCTTTGTTACAAGGTGCCTCTTTGGCAAACGCATGCTATTGACTCTTGAATTTTCCAAAGGCAAAATTGAAAATTTCAGTGATTTTGTTTCCAGCTGTCTTTACAGATTTATTTTGAGACCTTAATCCTATTGGAAATCATCTGAAACTGGTGAAACACACAATTGGAAAATTAATTAGAGAGACATCAAGGGAAAGAATAACAGTATTATCTATTACAGTATTATCTATTACACCTATTTGCAACATTCTCTTGAGATCTGGTTATTACTTTTATTAGAGACATGAATCTGTGATATCTCTAAGCCCCTTGTGTTTGAACTTTAATAAAATGTACTATGATAATTTAGGAAGATTGTTTAATTAAATTTATTGGTTAATAATTCTCTTTTACATATTTAGTAAATATTAAGTTGATGTTTATTGAGCACATGCTGTCTTTCAGATTCTGCACTAGGTATAGAGTACACAAAGTTGGGAAAGATTTTATTGTGCCTCCAAGAGCTCATGATTCCACAGAGAGAGTTAGACATGTCAGCCGGGAATCCCAAGGATACGTGAAATACCCAGTGCAGTTTTAGGTATTGCATGTTACTGCAGGACAGAGGCATCATGAGAACAGCTATCATGCTTTCATGATGTAGGAATAGATTTATCCAAAAGAAGTGAATGCTTCTTTAGATGTCCCTGGATTTGTTTTATTCTTTCCCAGAAAAACCAAGAGAAAATAACATCAGGCAGATGGGCTTAGGAGGCACTATTCCCTGATAGAGGGCCTTCCTTCTTGGATCCTGCTGTGACCACTCAGAGCCATGTGGGACTTGTCTGTAGATCTAGTAGAGCCTTAGTTGCCTTCTTGTATCTTAGTTTCTTCACAGTTTTAAAATGCCATTTTAGAAAATTTAATTAAACTTCTTAGCCAGTTGGATTAGCATTTATCTATTTTTCTTAGCCCACATGTAGCATGTTTGCTGAAGTCTGAGAATCCTGACTGCACAGTGTTATCCAAAGAGCATGTGTGCTGGGGAAACCAAGAAAGCCTCTCTTGTGACGTAAACATTGAGAGGTACGTTTAAGGAAACCACAGAGAAAACAAACCTTTCTTAACAGCTCTACACATTTGATTGGCATCTTGCTATGTGAAAATATTGGGTGCTCTTCATGCTAAAGGTGTTAAATGCAATTTTCTTTGCTAGATTATGCTGCTCTTCATTTGTAAAAAATCACAAGTCCCAGTGTCTGATTCACCTATGTAAATTTAACATTGTCACTTTGAGGAAATATATAGAAAAATGTTCCTGTATCAAATAGTTTGAATGTTTTACCAAGCAACGAAACACTCTTCTCCCTATTGTAGAATAGATGCTTCACAGTGAGTTACTGAGTTTTTCTTTTGTCATGTTTTAAAGATGTGACTCTGTCTTAATGACAGCACATGCTTTTAGAAAAGCAGATGTAATTCCAGTATTTCTTTATGAAATGATACTCACTCAGGGAACTTATGTGCACTTGATCTTTCTGTTGCTCCACTATCATGTACTCAACCAAACAAATCAGGGAGAGACCTTGGACAACCTCTTATATCTATCTCACTGCACATAGTTGACACTTTTGTTAAGTCGTAGCAATCTAATTCTCTTTGCCTTCTTTCTGTGACTTAACAAGTGGCTCACAAAGAAAAACAGTGTATATAAAATATGCAGTTCAGAATCATCTAATAATGTATTTAAGGTATAGCATTCCTGTTTCACAGAAATATCCTAATGTGTGACAGAAAATTTATGTCTAACATTATTAGATCAATAACCATGCTAGAAGAGGTACTCTTTTTATGAGAAAATATGTGGCATGCTTAAAAGTACAATGATTACAGCATTGGACTGCAGGACACAGAGGTGACCTTTGGGTTGCTTCTGTTACACATGGTTACACACAGGAAAAGAGCTACCCAAGGTGGGAGTGGTCCCAGGGGCTCCTCATGTTTGAGGAGTGGGGAACACCAGGAACAGGAGGGGCCTGAGGGTCCTCATGGTCTGATGACAAATAAGGTGATCTGGGTCAAACACTACTTAACCCCCAGCAATTCTTTTAGACCAGAGCTCAAACAATAGAGAGTCACCCTGAGATGAGGGTGACATGCAGGGGTCCATGGAAAGACAGGGCAAGTCCCTGCAATGCTCGAGATACCAGGCAAAAAGGAGGAGCCTCCATCTCCTGCAGCCAAGTATCCGCCAGTGATTCCCTCTGCAGAGGGATTTTTCCAGTTCAGTCATTACAGGTGTTGCCTTTCATGGGTCCTGGCTTCACGCAGATAACTCTGACCTGAACACCTGGTGTTCCTCACCTGTCTCATCCCCGACAGGTTCTTGCAGGAGCACCATAAGAATTTCTAGCCATTATCAAGGTTTGGGCACAGAACTCACACTACCTCTGTGTGTGTGTATCTAAAGAATCTAAGCATCAAATTGAGTTTAAAGTCGCGTTGGGTGGGTGGTGCTCCTGGATAACTTGCAGAATTGAGAAGATGTGGGACATTAGGGAACTTTGAGGGCCAGTGGATCAGTTTTATGTCTTCATTATGGTGGAGGTTACATGTTACATGACTGCATGCATTTGTCAAAATGAACAGAGTTGTACACTTAAAAAAATTAAATAAATTCTCTGGAACTCTACTCTGTATAAATTACACTGCGATGTAAATTTTAAAAATTAAAAGAATTTTAAAAGTGGTGATGGCCATACATCCTAGAATATATTCATATATAATTTTGGACTGTTATTTCTCCCAAGCTGTTATCTGCGTGTTCACTGTATCAAAGTATTTTTCCCAGCAGGTGACTGTGATGCTCCGCTGGCCTCTGCCTTGCCTAGGTCATCCTTCAGCAGCTCCTCAGAGCTGTCCAGCAGCCATGGCCCTGGGTTTTCGAGGCTTAATCGAAGAGATGGTGAGTCTGCCTTTTTCCTTGTATTGCCCCTTGGTAACTCTCATTGAATTTTCATATAACAAAATAATTATAATTGATTTGTACTTTGCAGAAGGAAATAAAATTCTGAATAAGCATATTTGTTCGTATTTGAAACACCAAGAATGTATTTGACAGGAATAAATTGATGACTTCGGCTCCCTGGTCCTGCTGGGTCTCCCTTGGTACAATCTGTGTGTGCCTTGAATGGGTCACATCTAACTTGACAGTGTTTGAACTCTTTGTATACCCCTTGCAATATCTGAGTATTACTTATTGGATGCCTTAGATTCTGCCATGTCCTTGTTTTTAGCCTTGTATTCTTTTTTTTTTCTGCCACAGTATACATTTTGTTGTCCTAGATTATTTAATTATCCCTATTTGGATGAGAAAATTGGCAAAGTAAAGAAGCATTTAAAAAATTTTTATTATGTTTTAACTACAGCTCTTAGTTTATTTCTTATTATGGCTGACTCGATTCTCTCTTTAGCATCCACTGTAGAGAAATAAGCATATAATGGTTTATTCATGCTCCACTGTGACTATTCCATTTATATTTGTAAACATATCTCATGAGGAGTGTGTTTCTTTTACGTATGCTTAAGCAGAAGTGTAGAAAATTGAATGTTGTCTTGCTGTGTGAATTAGAGGGAACTTTAAACACCAAATACATCCTGATAAGGAATCATCCTGGCATTTTCTGAACACAAACTCAGGTGGAACTTCTTTGAATGAATTCTCAGAGGAAATTAAATTTACACTGTTAACAAAATGTATTTGTAGGCATATATTAAAAAGATTCAGAAGTGTACATTGTATTTTATGTAATTTTGCTTTCCTATTTTCTTATTGCCCTGGTTCTTTTTTTTTTTTTTAACTCCCTGTTGTATTTCTTGGTGTTCTCTGTATTTGAGCATATTTAATACGTTGCACATTGGACCAAATAAATATGTTCTGACATTGTTATAGGCAGTATAGTTATCAAAGATGAGCAACTTAACATTTTTCTTTTCATTTTTCTTAGTTAAGTCTGTTATTTCATTTGTTGCAGAGATTTGGGCTCTGTTTTGTTACTTTAGATTCTATTTCTGCAGAACCTAAGGGGATTGTCATTATCATTGAAACAGTGATTAAGCCTGGACACAGGGGATAAAGGAAAACAAGGTTAATCTCAAGCCATAGCTCTTCTTGATGTCAAATCATATTTTGTACTAAAGTACATGACTATGAGGGCTCTTTATCATAGGGATCATTTTATTTTTAGTTCATGTTCCTGTAACTCATCGTGCAAAAAAAGCATGATATCAATCTTAATAAAATTTATTTTCATGTTAATGAAGTTAGAAAAACAGGCCTATTTTATTACTTTAGTTAGCTACCTAGTTTATTACAAACTCATTGTTGTTGCTTTTTTTAATTGGTTTTGACTTTTTTCTTCTCCCATGTGGTAGCCTGCAATATTCATCAAAGGAGTTCCAAACTGGGGGTGATTTATTGAAGGCTGTAGATTATCTCTAGTGTTTTAATATCCTTTATTAGATTCAGGTGGTCTATGGAAGAATGACTGAACAAATGTTCTGATCATAAATAATTAAACTAACAAATAAGTGACCCCTTGACTCAGACATTAAAGCCTTTCTCCAGTGGAGTGTAAAGATCTTGGAGCTAAAAATTAGCAGGCAGAAAACAAGTAGTTTTCCAGTTGTGCAGCCCAGTGCTTTGTACCCACGTGATAGGAAGACGCCATGGAAACAGCTGTGATAGTTACTCAAGCCTTAGCCTGAGGGGTGAGAGGGGAAGAAGGTAGCTATGGCATCAGGGAAGAAGGTAGCCATGCCATCCTGTCTGGCCCAGGGTAAGGGATCAAAATGGACTTTTTGGAGGTATCTTTCTTCATGCCTCTTGGATACCACAAGTAAACTAGTTCTTCCATGTCAATAAATGATGAACCCATGGGCCAAAGCAAGTTAATGAACTTTTATAAGCAACTTAATTAATTCCCTTTAATGGGGGAAGACTCAAGTTTTCCACCAAAGGTTTCATAAGTTATGATGCATAATCCAGAATTACTTTCAACTTGTAAAAATACATTATCACGAATATTGGATAGATTGGATTATAATTAATTAAATATGTTTGGCTTTCTACATATTCATAGTTAGAATTTCAGTGTAGCCTCTAACATGGTGTTGGCTAATTTCAGGATAAATTGACCTGTTGTAAAGTTAAGAAGCTAAGGGTCAGTGTTTGCATTTCTACACCTTTCACATTGCATCACTTGAAGCTAGAAGAACTCTGTGGCATGTTATTTGTAAAAATAAGACTGAAATAAGCTGACAAAGACTTAGGGCGAAAAATAAGATTTTGATTAGAATTGAAGAAAACATTTTAATAATAATATCAAAGAAATTCAGAGATGCGGCCGCCGCGCGGGGCGGGGATTGGTCCGCGCTCCTCTCTTTTCTCCTCAAGGTTCGCGGCGGCCGTCGGTTCCCGGGACACCTGCTGCCTTCGCCCGTCCCGCGGCGCCGGGCTTCCCTGCTGCGCTCCCGGTTCTCTGGGCGGGAAGAAGGGCTGAGCCGTCCAGTCGCCAACAGAACCCCGAGTGGCGCCGCTGAGCCGTCGCAGGGCGAGATGAGCGCGGACGCGGCGGCCGGGGCGCCCCTGCCCCGGCTCTGCTGCCTGGAGAAGCGTGCGAGCGGCTAGGGCTCCCACCTGCACGGCGAGAAGGGCAAGGTGGGCCTGTACATCGCTGGTGGAGCCCGGCTCGGCGGCCGAGAAGGCGGGGCTGCTGGCCGGGACCGGCTGGTGGAGGTGAACGGCGAGACCCACCAGCGGGTGGTGAACGCATCCGCGCCGCGCTAACGCCGTGCGCCTGCTGGTGGTCGACCCCGAGACGGACGAGCAGCTGCAGAAGCTCGGCGTCCAGGTCCGCGGGGAGCTGCTGCGCACCCAGGAAGCGCCGGGGCAGGGTGAGCCGCCGGCCGCCGCCGAGGCGCAGGGGGCTGGCAATGAAAATGAGCCCAGCGAGGCCGACACGAGCCGCCCGGAGCAGCTCAAGGTTCGGCCTTGGCTCTGTACCGTGAAGAAGGGCCCCAATGGCTATAGCTTCAGCCTGCACAGGGACAAGTCCAAGCCAGGCCAGTTCATCTGGTCAGTGGACCCACACTCCCCAGCTGAAGCTTCAGGGCTCCGGGCGCAGGACGGCATTGTGGTGGGGAACGGGGTCCGCATGGAGGGGAAGCAGCATGGGGACGTGGGGTCCGCCATCAGGGCTGGCGGGGATGAGACCAAGCTGCTGGTGGTGGACAGGGAGACGGACGAGTTCTTCAAGAAATGCAAAGTGACTCCATCTCAGGAGCACCTGAATGGTCCCCTGCCTGAGCCCTTCACCAATGGGGAGATACAGAAGAACAGTCGTGAAGCCCTGGCAGAGGCAGCCACGGAGAGCCCCAGGCCAGCCCTGGTGAGAACGGCCTCCAGTTACACCAGCAAGGAGCTGAATTCCCAAGACAGCCCCCCAAAACAGGATTCCACAGTGCCCTCGTCTACCTCCTCCTCTGACCCCATCCTGGATTTCAACATCTTCCTGGCCATGGCCAAAGAGAGGGCCCACCAGAAGCGCAGCAGCAAACGGGCCCCGCAGATGGACTGGAGCAAGAAAAACGAACTCTTCAGCAACCTCTGAGCGCCCGCTGCCAGCCACCCAGTGACTGGCAGGGCCGAGCCAGCCTTCCACCCCACCGTTTTCCTTCTCCGCAGTTACTCCCCTGAATCGACATACAAATCAGCACCCACATCCCCTTTCTTGACAAATGATTTTTCTAGAGAACTATGTTCTTCCCTTACCTTAGGGAAGGTGAATGTGTTCCTGTCCTCCCCCAATCAGAAAGCAGACTCTGCCTCTCTCCTCCTCACTGAGTGCCTCACCCTACCAGGTGTCCCTTTGCCACCCAGCCTGGGACACCACTGGGACCTACACCAAGCCAGGATCATGGGACCAGGTGAAAGGGCACCCTCCCTTCCACCCCCATGTGATAACTGGGTTCAGGGCTGATCAAAGAACTCTGACTGCAGCAACTGCAGCTGGAAGTGGACAGGACATCTATTATCCTGAGAGCTGTGGCTGACATATCTTGTTTTCATTTGATTTTTGTTGTTTAAAGAGTGCAGTATTTTTGCAGAGTCTAGAGGAAAAAAAAAAAGAAATTCAGAGATGCCGTTGAAACCATTTAATTATTTTAACATGTTTGTTATTCCTTTTTCTGTAACTTGGGACACTAATTGAAAATTTCAGAAAATTAACATGTAGTTTAAAATATTTAAAATATGAGAATTCAGATGATATATTAGCACATAGTAAATTCTAAACATTTTGAAATAAATAATGAATGATCTATATTAGGAAATAAAATCTTTAATGATATATACACACAAATATAGAACTTGGTTTTCTCCATGATCAGTAATTGGCTTTCAGACGCAAGTTAATTATGCAATGATTGTCATTGGTTTATTATACTTTTCAATAAATTAACCAACGTTTTGTTTAGTTGACAAATACAGACGCAGGTGAATTCATTTTACCTTTTTCCTTAGGCCTGTCTTCTCATGGGCTTATAGCTACGTCTGTGTCAAATGAGTTTGTGAAAATCTAATCTCTTATTTTAAACAATTTCAACAATTAATAAACACTGTCAAGTTATTATTCCATGACCGTTTGAGATGAAAAACCAGCCATTTTGGGTATTCTTGACATGCTGGCTAAAGACACACATTTATTTGTGCATTTGCTGCCCTGTGTCTCCTCTGCATATATTATATGAGCAGTTTCAGTTTAAAGTTTATTTTTCTGTAATTCAAATTCCTTGCTTCTTAATGCTGGTTGTCATATGAATATGCCTTTCTAAGATTAGGATAAACCACTCTTCTTGGTGTTTTCTTTCAGTCCTGTCTTGAATCATTTTTAATCAAAATGCTAG